GCTATTTTGGCTTCTTACGCTAAGGGTCTCTTCTTGAATGAGGCGGTGCACAACCAACCAACCAACCGATAAATAGATTGCCTTTATATGGCATTTATTAAATGTGTGGTTCCTAATCACTTCCTATTTCCTAGACAGCGAAAAGAAAGGTGCGTCTGCTTAGCACTGAGAGCGCAGCTTTGAAACTGTCTCACTAGTACAGTATTACATATATTTGCAACAGATTTGCTTCACATTCATTCTTCTGAGGCTGATCATATCCTTAAAAGTCCTCTGACCAAAAATTGCTCAGTATTTCCATATAAAGATAGACAGTTTCACATAAGCCACCTTGAAAAAGGCTGGCATAAAAATATTTCGTATATTCTTCTGCAGGTTGAGCAGGACAGCTATATCTGCTGTGCATTTTATGTTATTAAGATAGCAAAAATAATAAATTTGGTTAGAAGGTGTATCTGTGTTTTATTCAACTTTTTCAGACTTTTAGAGAACTGCTCTTTCCCCACAAATTCATTCACAAGAGTATCTGCAAACAAAACATAAGACCACAGTGTGCTCAGAATACGCTAGAATAGAAATTACTGACAATAACCCCAAACTTTTCAAGGACTCCATAAGACTTCATATACATCATTTGAACAAGCTCCACAACCATTTGTCCGCTTTATTAAAATACTGACAGGTGCAATGTCAGGATACCTACATATATGTACACACACAGATGTATCAAAGAAATTTATACTAGAAAAATTAACAGTAACATGGCAAGTTAGCATTATCCCCATTTTGCAGACTGCAAGCCTGAGGCCAGACGCTTGTAGTGCCTCTAAGGCCACACCAAGGAAAACAGGATACGTTTACAGCTTTGTTTTCTACCAGTTTTCCAAGCAAGGAACGGCCTCCCCATCAATTATAAACGGATGTTGTAACTGCATAGTGCAGGGTTGGACCTGGGACTTCTGGACTACAAGCAGACGTCTGGGTTCAAAACCAAATCCTCCTCTCCCTACCAAGTTACACTGGCTCAAGTTAATCAGATCAATACATAACTCATACTCTCAAACGCTGGCGCAAAGATCAAACTCACCACAGCAGGAAGAATGATTTCCACTTAAGAGGAAATAGTAAGAGATAGTCACAGATACTGAGCAAAGTATCTATTTTTTGCTAGATAAAAAAGATAGGTAACGGGGGCAGGCAGGCAGGCAGGCAATCATTTTCACCAAACGTGTGAGATATTTATCCCGAGCCACAACTGGGGAGGAGGGCAGGGGCTTCGTTACAGACAAGTCATCAACCCAGCACAGTCTGACCATGAAACCAGTTTCACTAATGCCGGGGTTGCTCAACCTGAAGAGGCTGACGGCTTACAAAAGCCTCTCCTGAAGGAGCAAAGTCGGCTCCAGCAATACAGGCACTTTGAAGTGAGTAACTGGCTATCCAACAACAGGGAAGGAGGTGTGCTTTCTGAGCAACCATTTGGGGCTCCCTTTTACGGAGCAAGATGGGAGGATTCAAAGAAACGAGGCCACTGCATTCCAGCTCGCCTCCAGACACATAGACAGTAAACTCATAAAGTCAAGGAAGATGGGTGCTCGGGACTTCCCCTTGCCAGAACCGCCCATCTCTTTCCTGTCGCTCTCAGGCACCGTGGCCTGCCCTGAATCTTATTTACAAACGATACGTAAGGTCAACTCTTCTGGGTAACAGTGCCAAGCACTACACCAGGTTCCCCCAAACCTAGTGCCTTCCATATGTACTGGATTACAACTCCCAGGACCTCTGAATGCACCCTGGCTAGGACTGAACTGTATCCCCTGTCTTAATTCTAGAAATCCCATGTGGAGGCTGTCTCACTCTGAAGGCTAACATTACACAGGGGTACGCAAGACCCCAGTCAGTCCAGGCCCAGCATTTTACCAAGCTGTGGAGTCCGTGGGGTCAGACAACCTCAAGGAGCAACTAGAACAAATCATGACCCCAGTGCAAACAAATATACTGACTAGCCCTGAAGATGTGACCTAGCCGGGTAACAAAATGTTTGCAAGAAAACCACCAAGCTCGGAGAACCCCAAGGACGCCACAGTTCAACCCTGAGCTACACCTGCTCTCTTCTATTTTACCATGCATCGGTTCAAGTGTTCCAATTAAAATATAAGCTCTCCCCCTCCCTACTGTTGCCCTAATCAGACACAACTGACTCCCACCCACCTAAAAGGCACTAATTCTGTCTTAGGTGCTGTATAAACACAGCCACAGCCCAGGTGTGGCAGAGAAAAATGTTCACCTGGAAAGCAGTAAGCCAGCCCCTTTATAGCCCAGCCTCTCAAAGGTCCATTATATAACAGCAGTCCAATTTTTCACTCATGTTTGGCTTAAAAATCAAGGCAAAGGGGCAGGTGAGTTTGGGATAGACTTGGACCCTATAACACAGTGTTTCTCAACCTTGGCAACTTTAAGCTGCGTGGACTTCAACTCCCAGAATTCTGGGAGTTGAAGTCCACGCAGCTTAAAGTTGCCAAGGTTGAGAAACAGTGCAATATCAAATTCTAAAATACATTCACATCTTAGAATGAATGAAAAAAATGGGCTGGAAATCCTGGCTCTAGCCTTCCAGTAACATCCTGGTATCACCACTTGACCCCCTGTGTGTCCTGAAGATTGAAACATATTTTTTTTTCAATTAAAAAAATGCCTTCCCCCCAAGCCATAGGAAAGGGAATCTGCCCAGCATTCGGCTGTGCTCGTTTCTCTCATGCTGCTTAAGCCCTGCCAGGCTAGAATAAGCTTCCTCAACATGGGATCCTCCAGATGTTGGTCACGGCTGATGGAATTCTGGAATCCGGAGGGAACCAAGGGGAGAAGGCCAGCTTAGAATATACTTACCCCAAACGCAACTTACATAAATAAATAAGAGTTGCTTCATGTGCTCCCTCCAAACACAGAGCATCCCTGATGAGACATCCTTAACTTTCTCCCTTGCTGTTACCTCTTCCCCCAAGCACATAAGCAACGCAGGAGCACTCTTAAGATGCTGGCACCCATGGGTACTGCTGCACCTCTGAAGCACAAGAAGAAGAGGCCCATCTTTGCAGCACCCCTCTGAGAAGCTTCTTATCCTAACACCCCTGCCTTGCAGGGCAAGCAAGCGTTCAGTGGAACTTCAGCAATAAAACAGCACAGTTCTCCATTATATATTTGTCTTCTCTGAGTCCGAATCAACCTCTTCCACTGGAGAATGTCGAATGGAGTTACACAACCTCCTCTCTCCCAACCTTCCACCCCACCCATATGCCTGGTTCTCTCCTCCAGCCTTCATTCACGACCTTGGTCAGCCATCCCCAACCCTGTCGTCACATCCAAATCTGTCCCACCTCCAGTGTTTCCCTGACAAGCACAGCTCAGCTTTCCTAACTCTTGCAAGCTGCACAGGCGCAGAATGGGACGTGGGAGGGGAAGGCAGCCTCTTGGAAAGAGCAGGAAAAAGAGAAATATTAAGAAGGCGATAAATACAACACCTAAAAAAGCACAAGAGAAGCATCCTTCCCCCCATCATTGCGTGACTCCCCCTCTTTTTGTTCCCCAGAACCAGCTCATCCTCCATCTTCTGCTTTCCTGCTTTGCTTGTTGGATTCATATCCTGCCTTTTCATTCAAAGCGGTATGTACAGCACCTCCTCCTCCTGTTTTCCTCCCCATGAACCCGGTGGGGTAGATTCTAGCCCCCTTGTGGTTGAGAAGGATTTCAACCTGAGTCTCCCCCTCCTGGTACAGCACTTTCCCCACTACCCCTCCCTGACCCTGGGGCTGAGAGGGAGGGGCTGGCCAAAAGTCCCCCAGGGAGCTGCTGAGGCTAAAGGGGGATTAGATCCCAGTCCTCCCTGCTCCTAGCAGCCCCTTATTCACTCCTCCTTCAGACAATCTAAACCCTTCCCAGCCCCATTAAGACTCTAAGATCCATCATCCCCAGCAAGCACAGCCTATGGGCAAGGCAGGCCGATGCTATTCACTGTCTACGGGAGCACAGGGCTGGGGAAACCTGCTGTCCGGGGACAAAAGTATCTGGACGTTTCGGGGCGGGGAGCGACACTAATGCAATTGGAGGGCACAGGGCTGGAAGGAACGATGTGCTGGGGAGGATGGGAGGTGTAATCCCAGTGCACGTGGAGAGAACCACGTTGGCGGGGCAGCGATGGGAGCCGTGGCCCGGCGCCTCGGCAGGGCTCGCCACGGCGCCTCGAGCAGCGGGTCCGTCCGCTCCCGCTTCGCCCCGCTCGACCTGTCAGACCACCGCCCCCCACCCGGCCTCGCCGCCCGCTTTTCCGCCCGCTTCTCCTTCTCCG